CTGAGGATAAGGGCTCACCAAACACTCCAAAAAAAACAAAACAAAAAACAAAACAAAAAAAACTCTAAGTACAGATGCACCCCTTGCTGCTGGCAGCCTGTAGATATTCTTGTAGAATACAGGCTGCCAGCCTGTATTCCTGATATTCCCGTAGAATTTCTTCTTGTTCCCTTTTATGTCTCTGGCTAGATTTAATTCTGTCTGAGTTTTAGCTACCTGACCCCTGTCTGCTCAGACAACTTATCTGTAGTCCTTTCAGGTAATCTGTTCTTGCTTCTGTTCGCTATGGATTTCCTTTTTGAGCTTAAGTCCGGGAGCTCTTTTGTTGATCCATGGAGGCCTCCCAGCATTCTTGACAGCCTTTCTTTCTCACGAGACGCACTGCTTTGGGGCTTGGCGGAGATGGTCCTTAAATACCGACCAGCTTTCTTAGCCCTGGAAGGACGAGAGGCCCTTCTCCCATGCCACCCTGCCAAACAGTTCCCTGAAGAGTTCAAAATCCAGTGGTTTTGAGTGGGTTGATAGGAAGCATATGCAACTGTATAAGCACTGAGCCTTGTCTAGTAGCGATTTTCAGTATAAGCTACACAATGGCAGACTCAGGCAAGCTATTGCCTGTGAAAACACCCATTGGTGTGATGTGAAGTGCTCTTTCTGACAATTTTGGGGCACTTGGAAGGGATGAAATCATATAATGCCACGTGCTATAATTCTCAAGGTTCTCTACATCAATCTTGGCTTGCTAGAACCAAGTGTCAGACTGTAAATTGGATGAAATTCACTGAAATGATTGTTTTTGCCAATGTACTCTGCCCTTTTCTTCATGTAGGAGGTGAACGGTGTCAAGGAATGAGCGTTCCTCTTCTCCATTAGGGTGCAAGAAAAACAAGGGTCTTAGTGCAAGACCAAGGGTTAGGGAGTGGAGGTGAGACATGGGCCCTCTATTTCCACCAGAATTGCTGAGTGGTATGTCTGTAATGCTAAGAAAAAACACATGGCCCAGTCTGATCCTAGAATCCGTTATTCTGCTCCTTCCTGGTTTCTCTGCAGAAACATGTCAGCTTCTGCTATGGCAGTAATAATCCATAGAAGAACACCAAATAGTGCAAGATCAAAAGAAGAAAAGTTGGGAAGGGTGCAAGCTACAAATGAAAGAGAAAAAAAATACAGATGCCACAGTGAAAAGGCATTCAGCTGCGGAAAAGGCAGATAACAAGTTCTAAATTCCCCCCAGACTGGTGATGGCCAAAATCCAGTTAAAGAAATAAAGACTTGCTTACCCATCCCAGGGATCAAGGCTCACCAAATACATCAAAAGAAAGGAATTCCTGAGAGAGAATCTTTCCTTGCGGCAGCTAGCACTTAAATGAGGCTTAGAGAACCTGGTACCACCCATTCTGATTGCATGGGTGAGTTGTTTTCACCTGTGCTCCCAGGGCTGACTATGTCCCTTCAGCAGGTGCTCAATCACTGCTTCAGGCTGTGACTTAGCAATTCCCATATAGTATTTTACTCTTACTTGGTGTTTTGCGTGGAATTCTTCCCTTGTCTGCTCCAATCCAAAATATGTGCAAAGAGAAAAATCAGATTAGGAAAATCTGCAGTTCCCATTTCTGTTATGGGTCCCACTCCAGATTTCTGTTAAGTTTTGTGGCTTTTTAGGGGACCTTACGATTGTCTTGGTCAAAAAACATGCATTCAAGCAAAGGGATATAAGGAAGGAGCATGAGTATGCTGTGGATACCACAATATGGAGGGCGGTGTGGAACCTCCTGCATCCATCCTTGCTAGTAGGGATTTTGGGGCTGATTTTGCATGCAACAATTCATAAGGGATGAGCAGCATACATAACTGAGATGCTGGGCATCTGGGCTCACTTTGGGCCAAAAAATCCTGGGCCAAAGTCTTTGCAGATGAGAATCAATGGAGAGCAGACAGCTTGCACTGAGATTCAGCCCCAAACTGTGCATGGTGAATGTTCTGCAAACATAACCCGTAAAAATTCAGAAAACGGTCAGATGATCTGTGCTGCAGCCCTGCTGAATTTTGGGTTTGGTATTGATTTGCAGGCTGGGAATGGGGGAAAAACAGGAGGAAAAGGGGGAAATTGGTATTTTCCACCTATTTTAATGCAAGATGTGGTAAAACAGACTTGGAAGCTGTACTAGTGTGTTGGAGTGTTTGCAATGGCCTCAGTGCCTTCAGGGAGTGTAAGCAGTGCTCCTTTATGATGGAAACAACACTTCTGTAAAAATTTCTTCTTACTGAGGGGGGAGGAGGGGGAATAAAGAGAAGAGGCCCTGTTGTGACCAAGCAGTAACCAAGAGCAAACCTGTTTCCCTTTGAGGATTTCAGTTCTCCCTATGAATATTTTGCTTGAGTGGTTGTTTTGTGGCCACAGGCTTTAAAAACAAAGAAAACACCAAAAGACCAAAAAAAAAAAAAAAAAAAAAAAAAAAAAAAAAGCCAGTTGGCCAGATGTCAATGCACTCACCATCCATTAAAATGAAAGGGTGAAAACAGTGTAAAGCATGAGAGGATCTGATTCTTTTTTCTTTAAGGTTTAAACAACAGCAACAACAAAAAGAGCTGCGGAGTTGGGAAGCCTCAGCTGCCAGTGAAATTATGGATTGTGTTTGTGTGTCATTGATATTCAGTGAAGTGCTATTGTGTTTATTTTCTAAAGATCTGTAGCCATCAGAGAAATGTGGCATAATTGCTGCTCTGTTTATCGACAGAGGGCAGGGAGAATCCATCTATGATGGGAGTTAACGCCTGCACTGCCAAATTAGGGTTGGAATGAACTTCCTGTTATGCTGAAGAATTTTTGGGGATGCTCCATGGTTGAGTCCTAAAAAATAGGTACACCACCCTCCATATTGTGGTACCCACAGCATACCTACCACCCTGAAAATGATTTCACCTTTATAGGAAATCACCCCAAGAGCCTTTGGGATGCGATGGGATGTGGGAAGTACCAGCTGCGATTTCTGCCCTCCCCAGTCCTGAGTGCCCAGTTGCATTCCAAGGGCCGTATTGGTTCAGCAAGATATTAAATCCTTCTTTTTTACTTTTTTTTCGGGGGAGGGAGGTCTCATCACCAAGGTCTCCAGCTGTTTGCTTAGCAAATGCTGGTATTGATGGGCATTCCTGTGCCATCCTTCCCATTCCCAGCAATTCCCCAGATAATTGCAACTACTCTGCTGCTCATGATGTTGTGTTGAGTAGGAGTAAATCCTACAGGGTTGGGTGGGAAAATGCTCTCAGCACTCTGCAGAGTGGATTCTGCAAGCTGCATGGGTAGTGGTGGGGCACAGTCCTTGGCATGATGATGCAGAGGATCTGGTCCAGTGCTACGTCATTGGCACTGAGGAGCGAAACAAAGAAGCTGACTCCTAGGAATGGTTTTAGGCATGGTAAAAGGGAGCTTTAGATGTTGGTGGAACAATTGTGTTTCCCCTCACCCAGTCCTTTGCTGGTGGCATACAGGAGCGTGCTGCCTGCAGTGCTGATTAATATGGAATTTGTTGAATGTGCTCATGCAAAGGGGAAAGGGAGTTGGGCTGGAGCCAGCTTGGCACTCTTGGGACACCTCACAGAGCCTGTCTCACTCTTGATACAGGCCCTAAGCCCTTTATCAGTGGTGGCCACTCTGCCTATGCTGGGGCTTGGCTGTGCTGCACTGCCAGCTGATAATGCTAGTGGGAAAGGGATGGAGGAGGGAAAAATCCCAGTGGGTTGGGAGCTGACCTGAAGGAGCCAATGCTGGGGCCACAGAATTCCCAAGGGAGATTTTGCACAGCTCTGGGGAGCCTCAATAACCCTTACATGTGAAAGAAGGCAAGGATGAGACCACAGCATCCTCGTAGCATTAACTAGGCTATCTATTCCAAGAGGTTTTGCAAGCTCTCTTGGACCTTTGGACGACCCTTGCTTGGTCTCCTCTTCTCCGCTCCATCCATATGTGTTAGAGAAGCCTTAGGATAATGATGTGGGGAAGGGAAAGACAACTAGTATCTGCGCATAGGTGGATGCCTGCCCTGGGGCTGGACCTGCAGTCACTATTCTTTGAGATTAACACCTTGAGAGATGTAAAATGGGATTGTGTTGGAAATGATAGCCCGGGGCAGGTCCAGGAGCTGCTGCTTATCCTTTGTGGGCAGCTTTGAGCCACCCTGGAGCACTCTGGGGATGGATTCTTGGCTCTGACAAATCTGAAGTGGTGGAGTCACCATTCCTGGAGGTGTTCAAGAAACATGGAGATGTGATTAGTGGGGACGGGTTGGGGTTGGACTTGAGGACCTTAGAGGTCTTTTCTAACTTTAATGATTGTGTGGTTCTATAATGCCTGAGGTCAGCAGGGGAAAGGGGCAGCAGTGGGATCCAGCTGGGTCTTGGACTGTAAAAGGGAGACCATAAGGTGGAGAGCAAATTGCAATACACTGCCCAAGGAGAGATGATAGAAGCAGCTCAGGGAGGTGATGAAAGCTCTCAGGATGGGATGAGAGCTGAAGTAGCAGCATGAATGTTTATTGCTTTCTGGTTTGATAAAATTTGCATCTGTGCTTCATGTGCACCTTCACCATGTTCTTTTATCCGTCTCAGGCACTGTAGAGGGTGATGAACCCAAATAACTGGAATAACACTAAATCTAGTATTGGTTGGCTAGATATTAGCTTTGTGAGAGAGCATTTCCCCAGATTCTTCTCTGGTCACCCCCATGATTGGTGCCTCTAAGTGTCCTCTGGTCACCCCAGTCACCCTTTCTCATCACAACCATCCCTTTCCTCCTTCTACAGCTTTAGTTTTCCCTTCTCCCACACTCTGACTTTCCTGTGAGTATAAACTAGCCTTATTGGTTTTATTTTAGTGATGGAGAAGAAATTTCCCTTTGGCCCAAGCTAGCAGGATGGTAAACTCCAGCCAGGAGAGTAGATTGTATTTATTTATTTATTTATTTTTCCCCCTTTTATAGCATTTCTAATCTGTGTTTATGATGCTGATGCTGACACATCCTAAACTATAGCATTGCTATAACCCCTGGAAAAAAACTCCCTGCTGGATTGAAATAGTGGCTGGCAAGTATTCCCTCCTCACTGAAGCTTGTGAATCAAAAGCCATCAATGCTTTAAGCAAAGGCTTGTGCTGGGGAGGGAGAACTTCTGCTGGAGCCTATGCATATTTTATCACCATGCTTATTCATTCTGAGCCCTTTTCCCTTCAAACGCCGTGTGGATTTTAATTAAATAGTCCTTCACCAGCCTGTTATTCCAGCTTGGACAGCCTCCAAATGGCCATGTTTTCTTTCCAGAATGAAGGGGAAGGGCTCCCTTCCCCCACCTCCATTCCCTCCCTGTGCTTGCCGAGGTTTGTTCTCCACAAATGCCACTAATTACATTTGGCTGGCTGGCCGCCTGCTCTCCTGATAGCTTCTTTCATTACTGCTGACCTCTCAGTGCTGGTGGGTGTCCCTGGTGTGCTAGGAGCCCCACTTCTGCACATGAGGTTCTGATTCCCATCTTTCAGCCTTTTGGCATAAATTTGGGGTGAGGTCTTTGTGTAGAGGATGGTTGATCCCACTGAGATCCCACATCCCTGGGATGCTCAGCTTTCCCTGTTTCTCTGTGTCCTCATTGGAGCAAGATGCAGCCTCCAAGCCCATTGGGGTAAGCAAGATGCTACCAAGCAGCTCTTAGGCACTGTGCAGTAGGATGTGTTTGGACCGAACCATTGTGGTTGCATCAATGTCTGCTTCCAAATGGGGTTGGTTGAGCAGTCTGGGTGCAGCTCCTCATCACCTTCTTGGTTGCAAATCAGGCTCACGTTGGTGCCTCCAGCATCTTCTCCACTAAGCAGTGCTTGGGCAATTTGGTGGAAGGGTCAAAGAAATAAATCATAGTATCATTGAGACTGGAAAAAACCTCTAAGATCGCCAAGTACAGTCATCAAACCATCATCTCTACTCTCACTTACAGAATCATTAAGATTGGAAAAGACCACAAAGATCATCAAGTCCAACCACCACCCATAAGCGGGAGAAGAATGGACATTTCTCCACCTCCAAACGTCTCATGGATGCTCTTCCATGGCAATCCATCCTGTAATAGCAAGATGTCCCAAAATCATGTAGATCCATAATCAGCATACATGAGAAGCCATAGCCAGGGGCTGATGGTTACTTCAGGCACCAGGATTTTTCTTTTTTCTTTTTCTCTGCTCTTAAATTCCCACTGTTCTACTCTGAACAACCTCAGGTACCGATACAAGCTTGCTCCTGCTTGTCATGAAAGAGTTGCTTAATTTGGCAGCTTGCTGTGCTTAATATTTCTTTCATGTATCACATCAGTTTTAAATGCAAAACGTGCCTGGATAAGCTCACTTTTTCAGTTTTTGCTTTTTTTCCCCCCGTGATTTAGCCGACACATTGAAGGTAGCAGTGTTTAACTAATAAAGAAAAAGATTTTAAAATGCTAGTTTTGTACTTCTTTAATTGACTTCCAATTTCCATTTGGATGCAGCCTGGCATATTGCAAAGGGAAAAAAGAGTGTCTGGTAAATAAGAAATGCGTCATTCACTGTTTTCTGCCATAATCAAAAATGTAATAATTAGGAATTTGAATCAATGTACATTAAACTATGTAATTGCCTGAGTAAATGTGGTGGGGTGCATAATGGAGCTTCCTGATTAGAAGAAAATACGAGATTTAGTGCAAGGTCTGTGCTTGGTTGAGTTTGTAAAGCAGTGTGGTTAAGCAGTTACACCTAGGGATCATCTCTTCTTCTGGGAGCTGAGCAGAGCTGGTGCTATGGGCCAGGAGTAAGTGCTGAAAAGATGAACAAAAGGTTTCTCACCGATCCGCTTACAAAAGTAATGCCTTGATGTCACAAGAAAAAAACATCACCCAGGTTAGCGTATTGCCTTACATTTGTCCTTTACTCTGTGCTGCTTTCCCCTACCTCAGCCAAAACTCACTTCACCCTTGAGTGTAGGATCACTGTGTGCTTTGTGCCTGAAATTTGCTTTGCCTACACAATGACACAGGACATCCTCGGCACCTTCAATCTCCAGAATGCCAACCCAGGAGAATTGTGTTAATATTGGAGAGTGCAAGAGTGCTATTAATTGTTCATGGTCATCATGCTGAGGAATGAGAAAAGGCTTAATTATTGCAGTGTGTTCATTCTTGCCTGCATGGTCCTGAGAACAAGGAGTTAAATCTCAGGTGAAACCTCATGCAGAAGCAAATAGTCATCATGAGAAGGGCAGGATCCCTACAAAGCTTGAAATAAGGGCTGTCAGCTGAAAGGGGTCCAGCTGCCTCCGTCCCACCCACCTTTCAGGGGATACCCAAAGTTTTTGGATTGCTGCTCTGAGAATGGCTGTGCAGGTAACCAAATAATTAGGAACTCAATAGTAATAAAGTGTTTTGACTCAAAAGGCATCATATCAGAGAGATATTTCACATCATTGGTAGGGTAGGATGAAGTGGCCCCAGGACCATTACATTTTCTAGCATGGGAGAGTTGCATTGCCATCTTCCATCATCCATCCATCAGAAGTGTACAATTAATGCTAATTAACAAGGGCTAATTAGCATGGCTTTGCCTCCTCCCAAGGTCTCCTAGCACTGGTAGGAAGGTCCCCACTGTTACCACCAAATGTTACGGGAAGATCTTCAAGGCCATTTCCTGGAACAACTTGTGTTGGAAGGAACCTGAAATCTACTTTACGCCACGTAGAGAGAAGAAGTACTGCGGGGCTGTGGACTTTGAGCTTTGAGCTAATGACTTATGGTGCCAGATCAGAACATATTTGAAAACACGTAGCCATAAAACCCATGAATGTTCACGTGCACTAATTGTGCCATTTGGCCTATTCACTGCGATGGCAGAAAGAATGAGATGAAGTGGCAATAACTGGGAGAAAAACAAACCAAACAAACTAAGGATATTTCCCTGCTCACACCCAGAAAATTCACCCTGGACAAACATGAACCTACACTCTCCCACATCATGGGAGATTGACACATATACAGTGTGGCACCCAGAGCCATCCCTTATCTCTAAGTGCTCTGAACGCACTTTGTGCTTGACCAAGGATATGGGTACAGGAACCACAGCAGTGTGCAGTGATGGACATGACAGATGACAATCCATTTCTCTAGCTGCTCAAGGAGCAAGGGGAAGAAAATGCAATTACCCAAAGAGGGCTGTTGGCAGGCTGCTAGGGTGTAGGTAGAGCGAGGACAGTACAACCCCAGGAAAAAGAGATGAGGGGCCTCAATGCCAAACCAGCTGCTCACTGTGAGAACTCTGCTTTGCTTTTGGACTCCTCCTTGGAGGCACTTTTTGTGCAGTAATTAGCAATATAAAACACACACTGGTCTCTTTGTTCCCATTGGTCTTTAAACGATGTGCAACAGTAGCCTGTTGTTAATTTTACCAAATGTTCACATTAATTTTATTTATGACCAGCTGTCTATAAATCTATAGCATTTATTTACATTGCATGTATATAAATATTTATTTATATATTATTCTGGGCTGAGGATAAGGTAATGGATAACAAGGCAACAGAAGGAGCGATACCTTGATGGGATGCTTTGGTCCCCAGTCTCCCACTCTAGGGTGACACGAAGGCTCAATAACAGCTTGATACTGATGGGGACATGCTCTGGAGATATCTCTTACGGACCAAACTTCACTGCTGTCTTTCTATGTCCTAAACCCCCCATACGTTGGGCATGTGGGCCAGTATTAAAAACCTGCTGTCTGCAAAGCAGCAATCTATGGAGGTAGCTGGGAGCCTGAGTTTATTTGCGTTCAAGCAGACACACCTGCATTTAAATACCTGTAGGCAAACGAGTCCACCCAGCTCCAGCTTTGCTCTTTCTCGTGTCCCCAGCACTGCATTTGTGTGTGTTCAAGTGCATTCTGCCTTCTTCTTTTCCACTTACAGGGAATGGGAAGATGAGGCGGTGGCCTCGTCCTGATGGCATTGGTCCATCAGTGGAAGGTAAATGAATGTGACATTGTCCAGATAGCGTTAGTCCAATAGAAAGCTGTAAATGAAGGTTGGTCACTTCTGTTACCTGGTTGTCACAATCTCATCGTGTCTCAGACCTGTGTCTGCTCCATCCCTGCCCATGGCAGCACCAGGACAACTGGGATCAGGCTGCCCCGGGGTGAAGGGAAAGGCTGCAGCTCCTTGGTCCCAAAGCGCGGTGAGATGGGGTCAGCCAAGAAACGGATGTGGAAGTGGCGACCAATGCAATGCACCAGGCTACCCACCACAGCACACTGGAAGCAGGCTGGGTAGGCTTTGGCATGGGTGGCACACTCATACCACAGCTTGGCCTTGGCTCTACAGCGATAGACACCAATACCCATATTGCAATTGAGGTCGAAGCGGTAGATGAAACCATTGATGCTCACCATCTCCACTGTCCTGTCCTTGCCGCCTCCAGCTGGGCTGACTGTCCAGATGTCCTCACGGGCTATGTAGCGCAGTAGCACATAGCGCAAGGTGCCTCCCGTCACATAGATCTCCCCGTCACACACTGTGGCCATGTGGGCTACAGCAAAGGTGTCATGAGGCAGTGGAGCAACGAAGACCCAGCGGTCATACCGTGGGTCATATCGCTCCACTGTGTAGAGGCACTCTCCACCGATGGCATAGAGGCAGCCATCCAAGGCCACCAGCTTGCAGTGAGGACGTGCTTGGTTCAAGGGGCAGATCTCCCTCCAGATATTGGTCAGTGGGTTGTAGCAGAAGACACGGTTGGAAGGTGTGCAGCCCAAGCCTTCACAGCCTGCTACCACAAAGAGGTAGTTGAACATGCTGCACATGGCACACCCCTGGGAGACTACCTCTGGTGGCATGTGGCAAAGGTGATGCCAGCGGTCCCCTCTGTCATCATAGCAGCAGAGTCGGCTAGAATAGAGTCCAAGCTCACGTGTGCTGATGTCTGCCACAACAACACACATCTTCCCCTTCATTCTGCGCTGAAGGATGAGGTCCCGCTCACTAGCGTTGAGGCAGCAGTAGATGGAGGGCGTCCTCAGCACCTGTAGGTAGTTGTCACTCATGACCTTGTAGGCAGCCTCCTGCAGGAAGCCTAGGTTCTCTGCCTTTGCCCTACAGAGGACCTCATAGCAGTTCCCCAGGTCCAAATGGGTATCTAGGGAGGAGGGTGATGTTTGGAAGAAGTTGGCTTTGCCCACCAGATCTGGCTGAGGGCTTGCTGGTGGCATGCTGGCTGGTTTGACACAGAACCCATCCATGGGCAGCTGGAGGTGAGAGTTCTCTGCAATCTGGAGGACACTGTTCTTACGGTTGATGCTGCGAGTGGGAGCTGGAGACTTGGGGTCCTTCTCTAAGCTGTCCGCATTTGATGGGACAGTAAGAGAGGTGGTAGGATCCTGCAATGCCACGGTTGTTTCTTGGGATTGAGTCTCAGCAAGCGGAGTGGCAAAGCTTTGCAGCTTTTTGTTGACCCCCTCTGATCTCTGCAGCTCTTCGCTGACCTGCTCCAATCTTTGTTTCTCTGTGTTGACCCACTCCAAGCACTGCAGCTCTTCCCTGACACACTCTGATCTGCAGCTCAAGGCTGTCCCCATAGAGGCAGATGGGAGAGACTTTTTTGTTGATACTGAACGGGAGATGGACTGGACATAGTAGTCATAGACTTTACCTTTGAGGCCAGGAGACAGCCGCCCATCTCCATCCTTTGTCGTCTTCTCAGCAATGTAGCTCTCCTCCACCTGGATCTTTGCAATTGATGAGAAAGAGTAGGAGGTATCTGCTTCCCTGTAGCTTGCTGTTATATTTACCCCCAGCTCCGAGGTGACACTAAGGGTCTGGATTGTCCCACCGCTCCCCTCCTGGCTGGTGATTCTTCTGGCCAAATCCTGCTCGGTGCTTTGTGCGCCTCCATCCCCTGCCATCTGGTCAGGAAGCACGTGTGGGACAAGCAGACTGTGCCCATTCCCACCACCCTCGTCCCCATTCAGCATTTCATTCAGATCCCTGATGCCATGAGATTTTGCCTCTCCTCCGTCTTCCTCCTCACTCAGTGGCAGAATTTTCTCTCTCTTCCGCCATGGATCTGGGACGCTCGCTTGGGCATCACCACCACTCCGTGCCCCAAACACCCACCTGTGCCGCAGACCCTCCACATTCTGTCCATCCGGGGCTGCATTTTCCTTTCTCCCCTTCTCCCTGCAAGCATCAGATGTTGGGTTGTTGCCTCCAGGTGCTGAGCGAGACTTGTAAAATCTGTATGCCAAAGTCAGCAGGAGCAGAGAGGCGGCAGAAAGGACCAGCTTGCCAGTCAGCTGCATGTCGGACTGCCAGAGCACAGTTACCCACTGGCTCATTTTTCTGTGCCAAGCACTTGAGAATGTGAAGAATCCGATTAATGATTGCCGAGTCCCCAGCGGAACCGACCAGGAGCTAGGGGCAAGGTGACTTTGAACACACAGGACGTTTGCATGGGAGCTCACTGTGTTTGAGCAAGGTGGGATAGGGAGGACTCAAGTGTCACCAGCAGGGAGCTGTGACACAGAGCTTGGCAAACAAAGAGACTCTGGGAGAACTTAAGGAAGCACAAACCTGATGGGAGGGAATGTATATCCTCCATGCATCCTGCCAATTCTGCTTCGCTCCATTGCTTTTTACTATTTAGTAGTGCTGGAAGGGGAAAACAACTCACTTGACCCAAGAAAGGTTTTATTTCCCTGTTTTGTCTTCCCAAGGGGTGAAGCCAGGTGAAAGCTGAGCACAGGGAAAGAAGGGAGGAGACAGCCTGCAGCTGGACAGACCTTTGGTCCGACGCAGAGCAGCTGCCCTGCGCCACCAGATGAATAATTTGGCAGCACACTCACTAACAAAGGGTGACAGGAAGTATCCCAACAGCCACTGTGTGAACTCATTTGGTGGTGAGCCTGAAAGTGACAGATGGATAACGAGCCACAGGGAGAGAGGCTGGGGTCTTGGGGAGGGCAAATTGCTGCAAATAAGGCTGGGGTGGAGGTGGAAATGGAACTGCAGGCTGGAGTTATGGTGTGTATGGCAGGAGGATATGCTCCGGAAAACAAAATCATTGGGCTGAGGGAAGAAAAATGGTATAGGGAGGATCTAGAGAGGTGTGAGCCGTCATTTGAAGGGGTGAGTGCTGCATCAGGGCTTATCAGGATGCACACAAGGATGGGAGTTGCCAGGGGCGGAACCAAGGCACAGACGTCACATATTTTTCCTACTCCTCATGCAAAATGTCATGAGTATGAGCAGTTCCCATTTGAATTCTAAGAAATCTGGGGAATTGTCCATCCCCACGAGGAGGAAAGAAGGACTATTGGGCCTTCCTATGCATGGCACCCCCAGCAGCCTCGGGCTGCTAAACGGGCTGAATTCAAAGGGAAACCATGAACTTCCTTTTCCCCAGGGGCACTGCTTTGCACTGAGAGATGCAGAGGAGTGAGGTCCTACATGAGCTGAGGAGGTGAAGAACAGCATGAGCTCTTTCAAATGGAGAGAAAAAGAAAAAAGAAAAAAAAAAAAGAAAAAAAAAAGCAACCAAACTAGCCAAAACGTGGGTGTTGTGCAAACTTGGTCCTGATGCTGTAGGATTTGCTGGAAAAATGATAACTTGTAACGCTAAAAACTGCGATGGGCATGTGGGAGACAATCAGTGCTAGTTTCTTACCTGAGAGATGGGGAAACCGAGGCACCACTGGAGTATGGTGGAACCAAATATCGTTGCTCATGAGCTCAAGGCTGCAGCACCGTTCCGCTTTGTGCAGTACTCTGTTTTTCAGGGCTGTTCTGTATTTGTGTGTGTATTGACGCCAGGGTGCATTTTGGGGCTTGGCTAATTGGCTCCATGTGTCATTCAGAGTCCATCCACCTATACACGGATGTGACCCTGGGGTTTCTCATCTCTTGCTGCTGTGGCTGTTAATCAGCACTAAGATCTGCATAGAGGGCTCCTTATGCAGGGAACATGAATTGCACGTGCCTTTGTAAGCAGCCCTGTGAACCCAGCCAAGTAGCTGTGTCCAGTAATGACAGAAGAGAGGCAGGAGGGCACTGAGTAAAACCTGTTATTGCTCCCACATGACACATCCCTGCCTTTTGTGCCCATCCCCTATTCGCCAAACCCAGGGGCTTCCCACTCTTGGATGTGCTGCATCTTTGACACAAAGGCTGCCAAAGCCCCAGCCTGGGGCATACTGCAGTGTGTGGTTTCTCTCAACAACACATGCTTTTTGTAGGGCTTAGAAGGACTAAGAACCTTGCAGGGATTGTGCTGGAGCAGGGAACACAGCCATTGCAAGCTGAGGTGATGTCTTGGCAATTGTCACCCTAATTGAATGTAATTGCTGCCTCCAAATTTTGCTAAAACCTTTTCAAAGTCCACCAAAATTAGGGAGCATTGATAATGCCATTCCTTGGGGTTTTCAGCTTGCGTCAGCCCTAAGAAGTGTGATTAATTTTTCACAAGCTAATCGTATCTCTTAGGCAGATTGTCAGTGGAGGATCTGTCAGCTCTCATCAATAATGAACCAAGCAGAGCAGCTCCGTAACCTCACACTCTCCTGCATTATTCACTGTCAGATCCTCAACAACAGGAGTGTGGTGGGGAGAGAGATGGGATTTAATCTAAACAATTCTATGACTCTATAATCATCATCAACAAGGAAAGAGCCAAGTGTCCCATATGGATAACAGATTTGGAATGCTGAGCCCATGAGCTCATCAATCCTCTCCCAGTGGTGGCATTGCTCTGAAGGTGGTGCAATGAAGTGGGTGACGGCACTGCCTTCCTTATGCTTGTTTCCATGGTTCTAGGTGATAACATGGCATTTAAACAGAGATCTGGGGGTCTGTAAATCCCCATTTTCACAGTGAGCAGGCATAATGATTATTTAATTGCATTTGGGTGAAAGCCCCAGAGTGCAACTGGGGTTGCTGCATTTCTGACCTAGCAAGGAATATCTGTGCCATCAGGAACTGTGCTGCGTGGTCTATAGCAGGCGGGTAACCCAAATAGCATGGATTTCCCTGAAAAGAAAGGTTCTCATCTTAAAGAGATACAGAAAGTGTTTGTAACCTACTTTGGAGCAGAGGGCAGCTGGTTTGTAGAGCTGGGGATTCAGCAGCTGGCATCCTTCCTTGCCGGCAGGGATTCGGATGCTTGGTTCTTTTTGCTTCAGGATGAAAGCAGAGCTGCTAATCCTCCTAATTCCCATCCATCCGGGGCCTCTGGAGCAAACTTGTCCCTGCATAGCTTCCAGCCGAAATTACAGTGCTGAATGGTTTTGTACATCAGTAGCAACTCCTGAGCCACTGTGTGTTTATTCAGTTCCTTAGAGGTCTGGAAATTGCTGGCAATGGTGAGTGGTAGGAAGCAAATCTGCTTAATAATAATTAATCATAATAGTAATAATAGTAATAATACTTAGCACTAGTACAGGGCTTTGGGAAGCTGAAGCACTGCACGGCTGCTGGCTAATCCTTCAGAATTAAGTTCCTGGAGGAAAAGGTAGGGGAGTGAATGCCTGCATAGGGCTGCCTCAGCACCAGAAGGGTGGTGCAGGGCAGTCATTTTAGGGTCTAAATCCCCAATGGCACTCACGCTGGTCATGCGTGCGGCTTGTGCCACGGAGCTGAGTTCTGGTGCAGTAGTGCAGTGGGGTCAGGATCATCCCTTCTACCAGCCTGGGCATGCACTAGGATTGGTATAAATGGAGGGACATGGTCCCTACTGCTTCCTTTCCAATGGACATCGGGCCCTGCCATCATAGCATAAATGTGTCCCTCTCCTGGACCTTGGAAAGCCACTGGGTTCCCCACGGCGGTCTTGGGTACCCCAAGGTGGTCTTAGGTACCCCAGGCCAATCCCCAGATCTTCCTTCAGTTCCCAACCCAAGCCCTCTACATGCAGGAGGACAAAACATTCGGTGCAGCCTTCTACAGAGGCAGGTTTTTTTCTTTTAATTAAATTGTCCAAGGAAGCCAAGACACAGACAGAAAGAAACTGAGACTGTAAATAGCATAGAAAAAAAGAAAAAAAGAGAACTGATTGGCAGAGGTGTAAACGACAGGTGGAGCTGTACAGAGGAAGAGGCAAGTGAAGCTTCACGTTAGCTCCAGGATCACTGTTAGGGTGAGTGCCAAAACTAGTCTGAAGCTGCGGTGGCTGGTAATTGAACCTAGGCAGGAGGAGAAAAGGGATGGAGAGTTCAGGGATTTCCATCTTGATCACAGAATCATACTACCATTTGAGTTGGGAGAGATGCTCTAAGGCCATCTTGTCCAACCCTCATGCAATTAACAGGGCCACTTACAGCTCGATCGGGTGCTCAGAGCCCCTTCCAGCCTGACCTCATGGGGCCACCACTCTTAGACTCACTTCAGCTCCAGCCACCACTTACCATTGGAATCCTCTGTTCCTCGGGGAATATTTGGATTTTCTAAGGAAAAGAACCAGCAGAGAAATGGGTTAAGAGGGAGGAAAGAGGGAAGGGGACATGGGGGAGGGGCGATGCCGTACCAAAGACAATGAGGCGAGTGTGGGTGTCAGTGGAACCCAGTGGGTTCTGCGCAGTGCAGCGGTACATGGAGCCATTGAGCTCAGCTGGCACTCGTTCCAGCACCAGCTCTTTCCCGGCGTGCTCGGCACTGCCATCCAGGAGCCGGCTTCCCACACGGGTCCATGTAAAGAGGGGCTCAGGGAAGACTTCATTCTGCATGGAGAGGACAGCAGGGTGGGTTTTGTGACCCTCAAAAGCCTGGCCTCCACTGTCCCAGCTTTATGGCCACATGGCAATCTTGAAGTGCTGGGATGGATGCAGGGACAGCATCACCCCATGGCAACATGGACAACACCACATGGGGACACTGACCTGAAAGCCCTGCACCAAGATCCGAACAGTGTCTCCAACCCGTGCTCTCACTGGGGTCATGATGATTTTAGGGCCCTTGGGAGCAACTGCAACAAAAAGGGATGGGAAGAAAAGGGTCATCAGCCCTTGGTTGGGGTGAACGAGGGTTTGATGTGGTGCTGGCCAGCTGGGGAGGCAGACTGTTGGGTAACTGATGGACAGATGGACAGGTAGGCAAGTACCCTGTGGACTGATGAGACTGACAGACAGCTTCTATGGGATGCATTCATAGCCAAGGTCATTTCCTAGCCAAAATGCATCTCACCCCACTCTCCATTTCCTCTATGGCACACAACAAAACAGTTGTTTTGTTAGCAGTTGACAGACTTCCCCAAAAAAACAGCAGTCCATCCCTTAAGGGATGCTTCCAGGGAGCCCTGGTATCACCTCCTCATGTCATCATGCAGCTCTATACATCACCCTGTTTTGATTCTTGGGTTTATGAAGAACCCC